ACTCTAAAACTGATGAGACTATGGACAATATCCATAAGATGAGAAAGACGACAAAGTCTTACGTACCATACCAGCCGTATAGGTACCAAACGTTTGTCTACAAAAAGCCACAGTACCAATCGTCTACTCAGTACCAGCCCTCTCGGTACAGTAAGCAACAGCAGGACTGCACTTACCAAGTTCAGCAGCCTCCTACGCCGCTGTTCAAGCAACAACGCGTTTGTAACCCTAAGCAGTCTTTTCGCAAGACTCAGCATAGGGGTAAGCAATTCTCGTGAATCTACCTCCTATACAAGATTATATCAATTCTTACGAGAATGGAAAAACATCACTACTGATAAGTGGGCCCTTAGTATAATTCAACATTGATATAGGATAGAATTTTTCCGCATCCCTGCACCAAATTCAATCAGGCCTTCTCCCTTTTCCAAGCCGCTGCATTTGGAAATCTCATCCCTGTTATCTAAAGAGGCCATAATCCAAATTCCATCTGACAGTGCCGATGGGTTTTTCTCACACTACTTTGAAGTCCCCAAGAACGATGGGGGCATAAGGCCCATCATGGACTTAAGAGACCTCAACCGGTACATACTTCACAAGAAATTCCATATGCTCACCCTTGACTCCATTCTTCCCCTCTTGTCTCAGGGAAACTGGTTCGTCACCATCGATCTGCAGGACGCATATTTCCATATCTCCATCCATCCGTCTCATCAAAAATTCCTCCGGTTCCAGTTCCATCACGATACCTTCCAATTCACTGCCTTGCCGTTCAGGCTTTCAACGGCCTCCAGGACATTCACAGGATGCATGGCACCAGTCGTCGCGTACCTACGAACCCAAAGGATAAAAATCTTTCCTTTTGATGACTGGCTTCTGGTGGCCCAATCCTATCACGAAGCGCTCTCGGCCACGAGATTCACCCTGTCCATTCTAAAGAAATTAGGACTAAAAATCAATGCAAAAAAAATCCAATCTCATACCTTCTCAAGTAGTCTCGTACATAGGAGCAACTGTGGACTCTGTTCGCACAAAGGCCTTTCTCCCACCACAACGGATTCGAAAGATCAAAGCAGCCGTGCGCAAGTTCAAGCCATGTGCCATACTTACAGCACACTACATCCTACATGTTCTAGGGCTCATGGCATCCACTACCGCGGTGGTACCGTATGCCAGACTCAAACTCAGACCCCTGCAGTCTTGATTCATCACCCAGTTCGATCCTGTGACAGACACGCAGTCCAAGAGCTTGAGATCCCTCCTCAGGTCGCACGGTGCCTCGCCTGGTGGTCCAGCTCCAGCAACCTGTCACGGGGAAAACCGTTCCACTCCCCTCACCTATGCATACAGGTCGTCACCGATGCCAGCCCCTCTGGTTGAGGCGCGCATTGCCAGAACCTCCGTGCTCACGGTCTTTGGACCCCAACCCAAAAGACCTTGCACGTCAACCAGCTAGAACTGCTAGCCGTCATGAAGGCTTTTCAATCCTTCCTCCCTTACATCCAAGGCCATGCCGTGCAACTGGTAACGGACAATACCACAGTGATGCACTACATCAACAGGCAAGGTGGAATGCGATCACCGCATCTCCTCCAGCTGACCATCAAGTTTTGGAAATGGTGTCGCTCCCATGATGTTTTCCCACAGATGATCCACATCGCTTCCAAGGACAATTCTCTGGCGGACCACCTGAGCAGGCTCCCTACCAGGATGCACGAGTGGAAATTGAACCACACGGTCTTTCGCGATATCTGCGCACGATGGGGACAGCCCACCCTGGACCTTTTTGCGTCCCACCGCAACACCAAGTGTGTCCGATACTGCTCCAGGGCGGGCATGGTCGCCGCCTCCCTGGGGGACGCCTTCCTCATATCATGGTCGGGAAAACTAATGTACCTGTTTCCTCCAATACCGCTGCTTCTCAGGACTGTGACCAGGATAATGCGGTATGGTACAGACGCAATCCTCATCGCTCCTTGGTGGCCGAGGCAACTGTGGTTCGCTCACCTATCAGAAATAGCACAAGAAGTTTACGACCTACCTCAGATACTGTTCCACCTGTCACAGAACAATGGGGCTCTCCTTCATCCTGATGTCCGGTCCCTTCGCCTGATGGCGTGGAGGATAACCCCCGCTTCTGCGAGGTGCTAGACTATGCACGGAAGCCCTCTACCTCGCGCTTATATGAAGGCAAATGGAAAGCATTTACCAAGTTTGCCCAATCTGAAGACATGACCATGGTACCAGCTTCTCTACGTACGGTACTTACCTTTTTGCTGCATCTCTTCAATATGGGACTTGCTCACTCCATGCTTAAAGTTTACATTTCAGTGATTATAGCGCACCAACCTCCTCGTTCATACCCTGCAAGGCTTCTTTCCGACTCTACACTTATGTTCCTTCCGCTGGTCTTAGACGCCCTTACTAAACCTCCATTTGAACCAATGGCTACGTGCTCTGAAAAACTTCTCTCCTTGAAGACAGCTTTCCTAGTAGCCATTACTTCAGCCAGACGAGCAAGATTGCTGCCCTAAGGTCGGACCCTCTGTACCTGCAGATGCACCCAGATAAAGCTACCTTATACATGGACATTTCCTTCCTACCGGAGGTGGTATCAGAATTCCATGTCAATCAGCTTATTGTGCTCCCAACCTTTTCCCCGTCTCCAACTACACCGCTGGAGCGCAAACTTCATTCTCTTGATGTTAGAAGGGCCCTTGCCTTCTACCTATACCGCACCAAGTCCATCTGACGCTCTCTGTGTCTCTTCTTACCACGGACCACGCAAAGGTGCTCCTGCTTCTTCTCAATCAATATCATGGCAGATTGTTCAGCTCATTCACCTGGCTTAGCAGCTGGTCAAGAAACCCCTTCCAGAGGGCTTAAAGGCACATTCCACCAGAGCGGTTTTCACCTCGACAGCCCTCTTTAAAGGTGTCCAACTGCAGAACATTTGCAAAGCAGCCACCTGGGCTACCCCTCTGACGTTTGCCAGACACTACCGACTGGACGTCAGAGCCAACAATGATGTGGCGTTTGGGCGGGTGATACTGTCATCTATGATACCATGACGGCCCTCCTGCCGGTGAGTACAGCTTGCTATTCACCCATTTGTGTGCATTCACAGAGACCACTACGAAGAAAGTTAGGTTACTTCCCTGTAACTTTGGTTCTTCTAGTGGTACTCTGTAAATTCACACATCCCTCCCTTCCTCCCCTCTATCCGTCACTGTAACGTTCTATGATACCATGCTTATCTAGTTTACGGTAACGGCGGATTAGGGAACTGAAAGGATGATGGAGGAGGCGGGGCTTATATACCCCGCAGGGGGAGCTAATTGACTCTTTTTTCTTAAGCTCTAGAATCTTCCGGACGTTCCTGCGCAAGCACAGGATAACCCATTTCTGTGAATTCAGAGAGTACCACTAGAAGAACCAAAGTTACAGGTAAGTAACCTAACTATTTTCTTTAATAAATTACTTAAGTATAACAGGTTGGAGGTATAATTTGTCTAAATAATCAGACGGCACTGAAATCTGAATTTCCACCTAAAGCAAGTACAGTACAAGTGTAATTACACCAGACAAATTATTCCTCTGAGGAATTGTATACCAGTCCAAAACATTTTGGTCATCTGCACAAAGCCACATAAGCCTTAATGCATGGCTAAGACAAGGCCAATTTAAGTGCATACTCCAATTAAGTGCATACTCTTTCAGGTTAAAAATTGCTTAGCACCAAAAAGAAAAATGCTTTTGGGGCCCAACTTTTATGTAACCTGTAACAAAGTGTAAGTCCTGCCACCCCTCACCATTGCCCAGCACTGATGGAATATGTAGTCTAAAATGACTGAAGGGCATCAGGCTGCCTACAGCTGTATGAGCGAAATGTACCCTTGCTCTGGTGTGCTGGACTTAATGCTTATTGAATCCGTTGTTGGTCTCTGCTACAGTGTAAGAATGTGGGGCTAAGACATTACTTGGCAGAGTCCCCTCTTGCTCTCCATCTAAAGGCTTTTCAATCTCGTGGGAACTTGGCTCCTCTGTGTTAGAAACACATAATTATGAAGACAGGGAGGAGAAAGTGCATGCCACAATGTGACCTAGCTTCAGCTGCACACAATAGATGTCAGAGTGTGTATCATTGCAGAGGAAGCCAGTGTGTGGGAACAGGCTGTAAGTTCTGAAAATATGCATCTATTCTTGATGCTTCATTCTGAAACTGAAGGCTCATATTTAGTCCAGTCCCTACTCCTGTGCATGCTTTCTAATTCAAAGGCCCTCTTTTTATTTCAGAAGAAAACTGCCAGGCAACTGAGAGAAGAAAAAAGCAAAGTTTCAAGCAGAAGTGTTGAATTAGATGCAGCTACTTCCCAATTTACAGAAAACCCACATCATGCAGATGAGTTTCACCTATCACCTTCTACACAGAGTTGGGCCAAGGAGGGATCTGGCCAGTATGGAGATTTTCCTGGATTCAGCAGTAGTGATGGCATGATAAGGGAGCTGGATGATGGACAATTTGACCAAGAAGATGGAGTCACTCAGGTCACCTGCATGTGACCAGAAACTGGATTAGAGGAACCTGTACATATTTCAAAGAAATGTAAAAATAGATTTTACTTTCTATATGCACTGGCAGTTCTCTTCTTTTCCTTAGCCAAATATAGTGTATATGGTATTTCCTCCTGCCCAAAACTTTGTATTTTGTAGCCACAATTCCCTTTCTGTTGTATCTAGCAGAAGAGTTAACTTTTGAGTTATGTCTATTTTACTGGGATGCAGCATTCCCAAAACAGCACCACATGCTACTGATGATGATCTCAGAACTGGAGACAAAAACAACTGCAGATAGTGTGTTGGCTTTTGCTGTCTATTGAAAGACATAACATTTTTAAAACAGATTGTGGAAATATGATACAATAGCATTTTCCTAACATGCTATTATAAATGTTACAAAGGTTAAACGCAAATTAAAATCACACATAAAGAACTTGTGTCCTTCTCAAGGTTCAGGTTTAAACTCTTTAGGCTTGAGCAAGAACTCAAAATTGCAAAATAAGTAAAACCAGTTGTTGAAAATAAATCAGGAACAGGAATGCAGGCTGAAGATTGTTAGGCAGTATATCATATGTACTGTATTCTCCAAGGCAGTATATCATATGATCAACAAAATGCATGTGAAGTTTAATCCTGATGACTTAATTCACTTTTTAACCTGGTGAGGCCTGATGAATATAGGAAACTGTCTTCTTCTGAAGTGGAGCAGCTCTCCAATGGCGAAATCTCTTCAGAGGGCTGTGGAAATGGTGGCAAGATTTTAGCAGCCCTAAGACTTATATCTGCCTGCTGAGGGAACGGGCTTGCCCTCAGAAGTGCAGGGGAAGGAGAAACTTTTGAGATGGTGGAGGATGTTGACAATTAAGTCACTGAAACTTGTTTTTCTTGAGCTACAGCAACTTTTGACTAAAATGAGGATCACTGGCATAGGGAAGACTCCCCCGTTTCAGGCTATAGCTTCCCAAAACATTGGGGCCTTCCAAAATACATGGTGCCTCTCACTGTTTCTTACAGTGCTGCCTCTTAGAGTCCAAGAGGGCATTTCTTCAGCAACAGGTTTGCCTTTTCCTGTTTTTCCTCTTTTCAGTCTTTCCCCCCAATTCCCTCCACTTCTGCAGTCCCAGTATCTCGTATGCACTCTGAAAGAGTCCAACAAGCATTTTGATTGGTTCTCAGAAAGCTTTATGAGGCTTCTGTATTAGTCACTTCTAATGTTTTCCTTTTTGCCAGAGCCTCCATACTTTGGGTGGAAGATCTTTTCAATAATCCAGACTTAGACGCTAATATTTTATAGAGATATTTGTTTAAATTGTAGATATCCTTTGCCGGCCTAGCAGATGCAGACTCATCCTTGCAGCCAGAACATTCTCAGTAGCTACAGTAGCAAGGAGGCCTGGTAGCTGAAGCATTGAAATGCTGATGCTTTCTGGAGATTGAATTTGGCTACTGTTCCTTGTAAGGGAAAACATTTATTTTGGGATGATGCCCTTAAGGATGTTTTTGTGGAGGCCAAGGACAAAAAGAAGGCTGCCTGCTTCCCATAGGAAGGACTACAGACAACAACTCCCTCCTTCCTTTTTATTATACAGATGATTTTCCAGACCCAAGGATTTTTGTAACTTCTATTCTGCCTGGTCCTGATCTAGAATCCAAACTACTAGCCACATCCTCAGTCGTCAGTTAACTATTCAGCTTCCTTCTGTAAGGCATCTCAACTAAACTATTGACATTCAACCACCTCCCTCCTGGTAGGAAGACATTTCCCCTGCTTTCTCCAGCGTGGGAGAGGTCGACCGCAGATCAGTGGATGCTCCTACCCATCAGAGAAGGCAATTACGGTACATAGAGTTTACAGACCACTAGGAACAGGTTCCTAGAAATACATTTTGTACAGGAAATTATAAATGTTCCAGTCCATCTTGCAGGCCCATCATCCAAGACCTTTTCTCTGACCAATGGATCTTATGGAAGCACATCTTTGAGTACCTTACCAGCCTTGCCACAGCCAATTTCATCATTCTGTTTTGTGCAACAGCCATTTTCAGTTCAAAGTGTTACTGGTTTGTCTGGCATCCTCCCTAGAGATACGTACAAAACCACTAGTGTCATTAGTATGGTAAATCAACCTCCCTCTGCATGTTCACCACAGATGCCAGTCTCATGGGGCGTAGTGCCCACTGCTTAGGCCACAACACTCAAGGGGCCTGGTCATGGCAAGAGGTTGAGCACAGTGTATCTAGCTCTTAGTCATTTCCCATCCCTGATAGAAAACACATTTCAGTCAGGACTGGTAGCATTGTGGCTGAAGTCCTAACGGAGTCACAGGGTAGTAATCACTTATGTCAGCTGAATGGACTGAGGAGCCATCTGCCTGGTTCACATAGTGGAAGAGACCTGGTCCTCAGTCCTTATACCCAGTATCAATTGTCTCGAGTTTTGGACAGCTCATCTTGCTCTCCCTGCTGCTCATGGCCTAGCATATTCGACTAAGAATGGACAGTGCCGCCACCAGATTCTACAATATAAAGGAGAGTGGATCCAGGTCCCAATCTCTTCTCAAGGAGGCAACCTTGTTTTTCAGTTGGGTAGAACTAAACTTGGCCATTTACTAGGGAGTTGGGCGTGACTGAATCAGTGGGATGGAGACTAGAGCAGTTTGGGTCTCCAAATTTTTGAGCATGAGAGCCACATATTTTCCACATTGTTGAGGGCCCACATCCCCGCCCACCTAAACATCTGCGCGCATACACACATACCCCGCGCACACATGGGCTGAAGGGACCGGGCTGGATAAAATGGCAAGGCGGGCCAGATTGTGGCCCGTTGGTTGTAGTTTGGAGACCCCTGGACTAGAGCAAGTCTGCGCGCATACACACATACCCCGTGCAGACGTTTAGGTGGGCTCTTATGCTCAAAAATTTGGAGACCCAAACTGGACTAGAGCAACAATAATGGTGGAAAACTCAGAACAGATCCAGTTGAACATGGGCTAGAGCTAATTGGAAAGCCTACTCCATGACAGTGGTGGCAGCAAAGAAGCAATTATTCTGCGTACTTGTCATCCAGCAAACTCCTTCAGGTGGTCAAGGTCCTGTAGCACAGATGGCCACACAAGAGAAAGACAATGGCCCAGCATTCTCAGATGCCAGACAGTAGCTTGACTTTCCATCCTCTCCAAGCCAGGTGCTCCATAGCTGTCTATGCATTAGCATCTCAAGCTATATTTTGGGGCAGCCACTTAGCTAGCCCCATCTCCATTACATCTTTTTCCTACTTGGAGCCTGACTGTACTCCTCACAGCTCTTACCAGATCACTCTTGAAATGTCTCCAAGAAATTTTCCTCTGTCTCTTCCTGTAAATGGTGGTTTTCTTGATATGAGTCACTTCAGTTGGACGAGTGTCCCATCTGACCCAGGGAAAAAAATCTGTATGTTCCAGAAACCATGTGTTCCATGTCTTTTCAAGACATAACTTTTTGTTTCTTCAGCCTACTTGCTCACTAGAGAAAGCCTGGAAGTTTGGATTTCAGAAGGGTATTAAAATAGTACATTGCCTGTACTAAGAAGCTATTTTTGCTTCATCACCTCTTTCCAGATAAAAAGGTTTCCAGGCAGACCTTGACCAAATAGATCAGTATGCCTGTGTATCAATGGCATATGATGCCTTAAACTAAGCTTCCGAGGCTGCAAAATCTCACAGTTCATTCTGCTAGATCAATGGTTCCCACCCTTGGTCTAGTAGACCAGAAGTTCTTGGGCTAAAACTCCCAGCAGCTTTTACCACTAACTCTGCTGGCCAGGTTGTCTGGGAGCTGTACAGTGGGGTCTTGACTTAAGAACGGCTCGAGTTAAGCAACAACAGAGTAATAGATATAGCTATTAGGATGTGGCTACATCCACAACTTTATGAGCCAACATTCCCTAACAAAAAGTTATAGGTCAGCTAATACGGTTTAAGTTCTCAAGTCAAAACCCCACTGTAGTCCCAAGAACACCTGGGGACCCAAGGTTGGGTATCACAATAACAGAGTAATAGATGTAGCTATTAGGATGTGGCTACATCCGCAACATTCCCTAACAAAAAGTTATAGGTCAGCTTCTTGGGGTACTCTTGTCAATGTTTATCCATCATTACACTGATACACACCAGTCTGCAGAAACAGCAGACAGATGGTCCAGGCTGTTGCTAATGAATTTCCCTGAATTTGGCATCTTCCTCCCAGTGTTCTTTAGCGAGTATGCTAAAGTATAAGTGGAGTCCTCCTCTGCACCACTCAGAGAATGTTACCTTAGATGCGCACTTTGAAAGTCCATTATGAAAGGTGCAGAGGACTTAATACTACCTGGAAATTTAGAAAGAACAATCTGTTTCTGCCTTCTCTAGTGGGCTCATAGTTTTCTGTTCTTTCTGTATCTTTTGTACTGCTGAAAAAGAGTTGCAGACCTATCAAAAACTTTTTCGGGGCCACATGCTTCCTGATCTGGGTGGTGAGAGGAATCAAGCCAGGACAGTGGAGTCCTTCTCTGCACCTACCAGAATGGACTCTCACAGTGAATACCCAATGTCCACCCACACTACTTATTATTGCCTCTCCTCTGACTGAGGCTTCTTGTTCATGCTTTTCACTTGCCTGTGTGATTGTGGTAACAGTAGCAAACTGCAAGTTTGCAAACATTTCAAGTATTGCCAAGGCCCTTAAAAAACAACAACCCTGTGCTCAGCCTTCCATGCTGTTTTGCTATAATTTGAAACAAAACACAGAATAAAATTAATGATACATCTATTTTAAAAGATAAATCTCAAGACTACAGCACATTGGCTTTCCCAGGATAAGAGCAGATTTTCACTTGAGCAAAGCCTCAACATTCTAGACATGACAGTTTCTTTTTCACTGATACCTCAGCAATATATATTGCAGAGTGGGATGCAATGCTGAAACACAGATTTTCTTTTCCTCTTTTTTTATTATTATTTTTGTTATTTATGTTTCTGACAAGTGCATATTTGCTTGTATACTCACAATACGGAGCAGCATCATGCACAGCAATGACAGGGAACTTTGAGAATGCAGGTGTTTTTTTAAATGTTAAAATAAATACAATTTAGCAAAATAGACTGGTAAGGAAAAAGAAAAAAATTTAATTGCAACCTCTAATTTTTTACAATGTAATTCAAAAAACAAAACATAGCTCAATTTCCCTATTAACGCAGAATGCAAGTTAAACCTTCAATATATTTACCATACAAAGTCAATAGTTCACTTAAGCTTACTGAAGTTCTACAGTATCAGGCAGGCACATGTGCAGACACATTATCAGAGGTACTTGAGTCAACAGCATTAAGGAAAAGTTACAAGCAAGTGTCCCAGTTAGACTATTTACTTAACTCTGATTATATGAAGTTTACAGTGAAGCACAATTGAAATTATTTGTTAAGATCAACTATTTCAGAGGCATGTATTTGAAAAACAAGATGCATTAAGACGTTATTGGGGCCTTAAGCATAACACATTTCCATAGAAATGGATAACAAGACTGTTAATCTTCTGACTGGGGGAGGATATAGGGACCAAGTCAATTCTCACAAAACTCAATTGTATCCTGCTGTCTCTGAAATGCAATTCCTCAGCACCATGCTTTGAGGTATCAATCAGATCACTGCCCAAGTTATACCTCAACGTATATGTGGGTGTGATAATACAACTACTGTTGCTTAGAACCATCTGATGTGATGACCCTGTTATCCATTAAAACCATATTCATGTAGAAAATAAGAGCAGCTAAAAGGGACAGAACTGTATTAACCCACTGAAGAACTTCCAGCATAGTCCTCCCAGCTAAGACAACCTACTAAAGATCCAAGTCTCTCTCAGCCTTAACTTTCTGACTAACTTTATACTGTATCACACTGGCTATGCTCTGAGATCGCAAATTTGAAATGTCATATATGAAATTAAGGCAGGTCTACTACATAGTCTGAAACATCATGATAAATAGAAAGAAACAACTTTTACAGTTTAACTCCCAGTCAATGAGCAATCCTTAACAGGAAGCAAATCAGGTGAAGCTAACATGGCCATGTGAAACCCAAAACATATCTATTTGAACAGATGAAGAGGACACCTGTTGATGTTTTTAATAGGAAAGGACTATACACTAATTGCAAAAAGTCTGATGTAACAATGGTGCTCATGCTTGTAGTTATCTGCACTCATGTACATCCCATGTAACAAAGCCTACCATAGTTCTTTTTAAAAAATAATCTGTACTACAGCATTAAAAATAGCTCAAACTCCATTAAGTAGTTCTCTTGGAACCTTAACTCTAATGTAGACCTTAAAATGCTATTTAAAGTAACAGATTTAGGTTTAGGGAAATATAGGTGGTATTCAGTTAACTGAAACAAAAGCAGATATTGTTTGGATTTAAGAAAGATACAAACTAGCTATACATGATGGGTAGGATTCAAAGTTCCAAGTACATGGAACCTTTTTGCTACAAGTGAGAAAGATTATTTTGGCACACACTGCTGTAGTGTAACAAATGTTTAATGCGAGGTATAATCTGTAAGCAATTACCATAATTATGCACAAGTATAAGCTACAGTACGTTACTGTAGGCAAGAGGGAACAGATATTGTTTTTATCCACTAGTAAGAACTGCAGATAGGGAAACATGGAGGGGAACCTTAAAATGGACTTAAAGGGACTGAACATATGACTTGCTGTGATATACACAAGCCTCCAATGATGCAGAAAGGCAAGTCCAGAGAGAAACAAATACTTCTAAAATACACTTTTGGCAGCAACACAAAAATTGTCCTTTTGGTATTAACACTGTAATAATGAATAATAGGATGTACACATACTACAATAGTTTAGTACATTAGATGAGCAAACCCAAAAGCCAAACTTGGGAACAAAAATAATTCTGTTTTCTATAAAAAAGGACAATGTAGGAATTAACTGGACTTGCATCTTTCTGAAATTAAACAAACTAAAGTCCCAACTGCATTAGTATGAAAAGCTTCAGCTTTAAATTAGACAAAGCTTGGAGATTGTGATCCAATGATTGTTTAGCAGCAATTTTACAGAACTGTAAATTCTTTTATTAACAGGCAGTATAAACAGATCATTCTAATTTTATTTAAAAAACCATGAGTGCCACATTGAATATACAGCCCATGAATAACTTAAACCATTTTCCATATTAAGAGGCAACGCACACAGCATACAAAAGTATACTAAACAAAGCTCTAAGGATACATGATTGAAGTTTCTAAAATTGTATGTACAGTACATAATGTTAATTACGTGTTCATTTCAGTCCACGATACTCATCATGCTTCACTTTCACCAGACACTGAATTCTGCACCTCTTCTTCTAAAATTGGTACGATCAGGTTATCCTTTGACATCAAGTTGTACTTCATCACAAATTTGGTGAATCGGTGACATAAGAAGGTTTCATTCTGAAGGCAGAGTAAGACACACAAAAGAAGAAATTATTCAATTACTCAGGATCGTTTTAAAATATAATTTCCTACACGGTGATATCCATGTAAGAAAGAAATATACCATAACATACTAGGGTTTACATTCTGGCCCATCAGAATGCTTGAAAATGCTCTGCTTTTGGGGCTTTTCTGGTTCACAACGGCAGGCCAAAGGCAGAATATGGCTGGTGTGCACAAGCAGTTCAACAGGCTTAGTGGAGTAATTCAGATCTAAAAAGTAACACCATTTTACACACACCCTTATATGCAGGCAGCTGAAATGCCCACCATGGAAACCATTACTGTCAACTGCTCACCTAAATAACTATTTAGCACATATATAAAAATTGTGTTAAGTCTCACTGCCTTGTCTCAAATAACACTGGGACAAATTGATGATATGACAAATCAACAGACTATTCATATACACTGGCTAGAATCCATATTTGGGAATTATAATGCAATTACACTGTAAACTAATTAAAAATACCGTATTTTTCACTCCATAAGACGCACCCCCCCCAAAATGTGGGGGGGGGGAAATCTGTGCATCTTATGGAGTGAAGGCGGCGATTTTGCCCCCGCTGGCCCTGTGTGGGGGGAGCGTCGCAAGGGTCCGGGAAGGCTCACTCGGACCCTTGCAACGCTCCCTCCACCCACCCCCACGGGGCCAGCGTGGGTGAAATCGCCACCTTCTGGGACTCTTCTGAAGCTTCCCAAGCCTTAAAAGAGTCTCAGAAGGTGGCGATATCGCCCCCTCTGGCCTCCGGGGGGGGGCTGGGTGAGCCTCCAAAGGGTCCTAGGGTGTGTTCCAGGACCCTTTAGAGACTCACCCTCCCCCCGGAGGCGAGAGGGAGCAAAATCGCCAGCTTCTGGGAGCCTTCTGAAGCTTCCCAAGCCTTAAAAGAGTCTCAGAAGGTGGCGATATCGCCCCCTCTGGCCTCCGGGGGGGGGCTGGGTGAGCCTCCAAAGGGTCCTAGGGTGTGTTCCAGGACCCTTTAGAGACTCACCCTCCCCCCGGAGGCGAGAGGGAGCAAAATCGCCAGCTTCTGGGAGCCTTCTGAAGCTTCCCAAGCCTTAAAAGAGTCTCAGAAGGTGGCGATATCGCCCCCTCTGGCCTCCGGGGGGGGGCTGGGTGAGCCTCCAAAGGGTCCTAGGGTGTGTTCCAGGACCCTTTAGAGACTCACCCTCCCCCCGGAGGCGAGAGGGAGCAAAATCGCCAGCTTCTGGGAGCCTTCTGAAGCTTCCCAAGCCTTAAAAGAGTCTCAGAAGGTGGCGATTTCACCCACGCTGGCCCCGTGGGGGTGGGGAAAGCGTCGCAAGGGTCCGGGAAGACTCACTTGGACCCTTGCGATGCTCCCCCCACACGGGGCCAGCGGGGGGCAAAATCGCCGCCTTCACTCCATAAGATGCACAGATTTCCCCCCCCCCACATTTTGGGGGGGGGGCGTCTTATGGAGCAAAAAATACGGTACATTTTACATCCCGCACTTCAAATCACACCACTTTGAAAAAGACTCAACAGCAGTTTCTACCAGCTCTTTGCAAGCTGAGTTCAGAAGATGGAATGGTACTAGAAATGAATTCAAAACAGTACAAATATTGAAGCAACTGCAATACGAGTCCTAGGTGCACAGCATATTCACAACACATTCCTAAGCCTGCCTGCTCAGAAGACTAGGCTTAACGTTTCCTCTCAAACGTGGTTAGAACTGAAAACCAAAACATACTCAGTGTTTTCAAAGTCATGATTTCTTGGAATCAAGTCCCACAGAGTTCAGTGAGGCCTACTCCAAGGTAAGCTGGTATAAGACTTCAGTCTTAGTGTTACAGTACTTACTTCATATTCATCAAATATTTGACGGTGATGAAAATATGCATGTGAAAATATTCTATAAATCCTACGGCAGACTGATCCTAGTTTGGCTACGGAGGATTCCTTTATGCTAACCCTGTAAACATGAAAAGCAAACATTATATGTGGGCAGAACTTCTGTTGTGGCTGCTGAAATGTTAATATATGAAACAAACACCATGTCAGAAACAGTTTCTCTTGAAAATTCGTTCACCAAATCTATCCAGTCCTTAAGAATCAATTATAAATATTGAAAAGGGAAAATAGAATTTCATCAGTATTTTACCTGCTTGGGAAATATTTATTGCTATTCAAAAGACAAGCAGCTCCATCCAATGTGTGTCTGGTGTAGTCGATGGCAGGACACTAAAAGGAAAGAATGAAATGGTTACATTTTATTGCCAACATTTTCTGAGGTATCCTATTCTCAAATCTAGGTTTCCTTATAATTCCTTTAGACTCCATACTGTTCCACATAAATCATTATAATATTAACAGTGGGTTTAAATGCAATGCCTCTTCCACTCGGGTGATATGGATGATTAAGGCAACTGAAACAACATCATATTCACATTCTCAGATTTAAAAAAAAGATTATTGTAAATAAGCACGTGTCAGTTCGTTCACATCCAAAAACTAACATATATATTTGGAAGCATTTCTATTAATTTCCACAAAAATACCACCTCTATAAACAAACCCTTTGATAGTCAAACCAATGAAAGCAGAACAAGCAATATTCAATAAATGTGTCATACCCATAATCTTCAGCAAGACAGTCATAACTGATACTATTTCTTATTTACACTGTTGTTCCAGAGCTACCAAATCAGAGGTTCATGTCTAGCACCTAATATTTTCCCTCTTCTGAAGAGCTTTTGAAGTGTTTTAATGTAGAGTACTATTAAAAGGACCAGTGGGTTCGACTACATTTTAATATTATAAATTCTGTGTTTTTGGTTCTGTTTTTCTAGATTGGTAAACCACCATGGGTGGGTCCTTGCAGTGAAAGAAAGGCACAGTATGAAATAAAACAAACAAATCAGCAAATTTGGAAGTCACACATGACCCACTTACGATAGGATGACGCTCTTTATAGCTTGAGCCAGCCAGATCTGCAGCTATCTTTATGGCTAGTTTGGCATTATTCAAGGCACAGAAATAGGTTGGTTTTTTTTTCATGAGATAAAGTCAAAGGCAGCAAAAAACAATAGTTCAGATGTAAAATTAAATGGCAAGGGTAGAACAAACTAATGCTAAATTATGGCCGGAATTTGTTGTTTTCCACAATGGTGCCAAGCTGTGGATACAAAAAAATGCAGTATCCCCAGCAACTACCCAGCTGTAATTGCACGATAACTCATATCATGGCAGGCAGGCACAACCAAACAAATGCTTATGCAAACCCTCCAACATACAAAGGATTTTAGTACCAAGCTGGACATCTGAACCATGGACAGAGAAGAGAAAGTCAGACAGCATGCTTATTTCTCTTTTTCTACACATGACTGTGAGAGTAATACTGCCAGAATAATGGGGAAGAGGCAGGAAGTGCCTTGATAACCATCTTCTTGGGCTGCCCTTCTTACCTCTTTGGGAGTTTTGTGGGCCGCACACAGAAAAATCCACTGCTCAGTTGCTGTCATCTGTGTGCAGGTGTCTGGATGGCATTCTGTCTGTTGAAAGATTTGTGCAATAAATAGCAACATGCCAAGAACTAAAATGTAGTCTCTTCAAATAGCTCTTCCTCTATACTTCCCCCTGCCCGGCTAACTAAAGACAATAATGTAAAATAATTTTGAGTGTTACCACACATAATGCAATTTATTTTTAACTGTCAAAAGGAAGATGAAAGGAAACAAAAGTTACCTGAAGCTTAACAGCAAGGCCATTGAGCTCAAGACAGAACTGCCTAAAATTTCAGAACATAAAATATCAGATTATAAAATTTCTCCTCCCTGTTGAAACACCACAATCTAGTACAACTCTGGAATACACAAAGCAATCTAAAATGATGCAACTGTAATTTTTAAAATAAAGGTGCATGGGAAGAAGCACAAGACAGATTCTCCTTTTTAATTTAACTACTACTATGAGAGAGAAAACTGAGACCTATAGGATATTCTAACTTGTGTACAAATGTAAGTCCAGAACACTTAAAATATGTAACCTTTTTCAAGACTATATGTCTTAATATATGTAAACACACCTACAGTGGTGCCCCGCTTAACAATTACCTTGCTTGACAACGAATCCGCTTCACGATGTTTTTGCGATCACTATTGCGATCGCAAAACAATGTTTTAATGAGCAAAAACGGCTTTACAACGATCAGTTTCCTGCTTCGGGAACCAATTCTTCACATTACAACAATCAAAACAGCTGATCGGCGGGCTTTCAAAATGGCCACCAGCTGTTCAAAATGGCTCCCTGCTGTGTTCAGGACAGATTTTTCGCTGCACAGGCAATGGAAAATGGCCACCCTATGGAGGATCTTCGCTGGACGCTGAAGTATTTCGCCCATTGGAACGCACTGAACCGGTTTTCAATGCATTTCAATGGGCTTTTTTATTTTGCTTGACGAGGATTTCACTCTACAGCGATTTCACTGGAACGGATTATCCTCGTCAAGCGAGGCACCACTGTATATCTTCCACACGGGATAGCTCAACACTGAAATCTGTTCTAGGGAAAAGATTCTAAATGGCCTATAATTTGTATCATTCTTACAATTACATAGCAAGAGAACACGAATCAAGTGAAAGGATTAATTCTGAACTTGTAAACAAACTGATTTTCAAATTATATGGGAAAACAAACACATCTGTGATATTAGTTTTCCTAATCCACCTGAAATCTATAAACTACCCTATATAACAGGAAGCTTGCATTTTATCAGAGTAACTTTGTAATGGCAGAAAATACATCAGATTTTGCTTATTATTTTGAGAAGTTGATAATATCATAATTACAGTATTACAAAACTTTGTCCAATCCATCCACCACAAAAATTAGATAAAACAAAACAAAACACAGTCTTTAGGACAGAAGAGTTTATGGTTACAAGAAAAGAGAATTTTTTAAAAAGCAATCCTTTCTTACATGGCTCTATCCTCATCTAACTGACCTACACACAGTTGAAAAAATAGGCTGAACTATCATTTGACAAGCATTTCTTCTTCCTGCCCAATATGTATCCTTCTTGAAAGTGACGCAGTAGGGATTGACAGAGGGATTTAACACTGAATGTTTCAATTTTCTTAAGAAAAAAACAAACTTCTCTTTCCAGCACCAATGAACTCTGACAGTACTGCTGAAATAAGTACATTATTCAATATCTTAGTTACCTTAAGTGTTCATACTTCCAAACGCCTTCATCCTGTCCTTCTGGAGGTTCAAGAATTTTGTCAATGTTTGAACAGTCAGCCCTTATATTCTGCTGGATATACTAATGGAAAAACATATAGTAAGTATCTCTTTTTGATATGAACAACAAATCATCATCACAAATATGTTAAGCAAACCAGGGCTGTGGCAAACCCTTTCAATGAACAGTTCATAACCCATATTGGGATGAGTTATAATGCATTTTTATGTTTGGCCTCCAGTGTTACAAAACTGAAAGCTAAATATTACTACATGTGTAATGCCTAATACTGTTGACAAATTAGAAGAATTTTGGCTCTGCAATCTAAGTCCTGGCTCTGCAGTCCAAAAGTTATTACTATGAAGCCAAACAAAGAATGAATAAAGCAGAGCTAATAATAAGAAAGACAGCTAAGTTACAGTGTGCACGGAACACCAGTGTTTTCCTGATGTGGCAACAGTGATACCTCAAATACCAAAAGCTGATTCTCACATGTAAAAGGTAGAATTATCTTTTTTTTTCCAAGATTTTTATTTTTTTTTAACATAAGGGGTGATAAAAAGGAAAAGGGGACTTGGAATTTATGAGGAGGAGGAGAGACAATAACATACTAACAACCATGTTATGTTGTAAGCCGCCTAGAGTGGTCGAAATGACTAGATAGGCGGGGTATAAATACAATAAATAAATAAATAAATAAACCATTGTATACTTATTGCCATATCAAAGTTTTAAGTTATTCTGTTTACTCTTTTCTGCCTTCTAGATTAAGTTTTCATTTCAATATATGCTATTTACACGTTGCCTGTTAATTTAGTCCATTTGTTGAATAGGTCCCATCTTTCTGTTGCCTTTTGTAGGGGATAGTCCTTCATGACTTCTGATAAAATGTCCATTTCTGCTATTTCCCGTATTTTTTCAATAAGATCTTCTTGTTTCGGTATCGTCGGACTTTTCCAATTTTTAGCATATAGAATTCTAGCTGCCGTAACAATATACACAACTATATGTTGCTTTGACTTATCCATATTGTCAGGTATCATACTCCATAAAAACAATTCTGGGGTTAATGGCACATTACAGAGCAATATTTGTTGTAACATAGCATGTACTCTTTTCCAATACTGTTTCGCTATTCCACATGACCACCACATATGATAATAACTTCCCACTTGTGTTTCACATTTCCAACACTTATTTGATACATCTGTATACATCTTTGACAGTTTTTCTGGGGTCATGTGCCACCTATAAAACATTTTATATATATTCTCTTTAAGGTTAACCAATTTTGTAAATTTTATGTTACTTTGCCATATTTTCAGCCATTGATCAATATCAATATTATGCCCTATGTTTTGTGCCCACTTTATCATACATTCCTTAACCATTTCATCCTGCATTTTAATTTCCAACATATAGTTATACATTTTCTTTACAATTTGTTCTTTTGAACCCAACAGCAGCTTATCAAAAGTCGTTTGCTCTGAATAGAAACCCTCTATTTTGTCTTTTGCATATCTAGATTCTAACTGTGCTCTAGGCCACCAATCTATATAAACATTCTGTGACTCTAGTTCTTCCTTAGACCTTACTTCACCATCCTTTTTAAATAAATCTTGATATCTTAAAAGATTTGCTTTTGTCATGAGTCTAGGTTGTGTAAAGGCCTCTATCGGTGACACCCATGCAGGTATTTTGTAATAAATTTGTTGTATAATCTTTCTCCACATTCCCAATAAGGCTCTTCTTATCATGTGAATTAAAATTCTTTTGTTCTTTATCCTTTTTATACCATAGATAAGCATGCCATCCTAATTGCAAGTCGCGTCTTTCCAAGTTGAGTAGTTTTCTAGGGTTATCCATTCTCTTATCCAATCTAGGATACAAGCTCTATAATACAGGACCCAGTCCGGAAGACCAAAGCCACCCCCTGTTTATCATCTTGCATTGCCGAATTTTCTTGAACAGAGATATATACTAGGCAATTTAAATTGTGAAATTCAGAAATAAATTATCAGAACACAATGAACTTAAAAACAGTGTACCTGTTGCACTGCCAGTGTGCTGTCCATTTCCTCAAAAGATTCATCAGGCCAATTATAAAAATCCTTTAAAAATAAAAAAAGATTCAAGCATATGAGGGGAAATCCAATCTTAAAGATATTCTTGTTAATTCCAATAGAATTTCAGCTGTCATGTTCTAAGTTAGCCTTATCGGTGTTCTGTATTGTAGAATTTCTTATATTCTGTTGCCTATTAGACTGCATTCCATTTCTAATACAAGGAATGTCGATGTGTTTTCAACACAGTGAGCAACTCGGTGACTAAAAGTCCCTTAGACTGAGATTCCAAGTTCTGTCCTCTCTCTACCCAATTTGTGTGGAGAGACATGGCAGAACTTGGAGTGATATGGAATGTAATTTCTTTAACTTGTGACCTAACAATGGCAGTCATTACTCATGCAGTACTAGGTAGCTTACGCTTATTTCAGCACAGGATTTTCTTTTAGGAAATGGCAGCAAGACAATACCACAGACCATGATACTGCACCAGGTCAAGGAGTCTCTACATCCCATTCTACATACTTATATTTTAGCAAAGGAAGTTCAGGTTGCATGGCTCTTTGATGTATCCCAAATGTTTCACCACAGGGTTATTAAAAACTCTGCAAGAAAAGAAAGCCACTGCTCATTACACTGGCCCTGAGATACTTCAATCTGTGGCTAAAATTGTATTTCAAAGGTTCTGTGATAACAGAATTTAAGTTCAAATCCTGTGCACACTTATTTAAGAATAAGTCCCACTGACAGTGGTGGAGTTCCCTGGAAATATATATGCAAAGGATTATGCTATTAGACTGCAGTCTTAAGCATTTCAAATTTGGAAATGAGTACTGTTGAAATGAATACAACCATCTCTAGGCATAAGTGTCTGAGGTTGCAATAAAAAGCAAGCTTCAAGCTCTACTTAAGCACCACTAAATGGGCTTACTGTAATGAGCATTTTGACTCCATAGTAAACATTTGTGCTACCGTGTTTCCCCAAAAATAAGACAGGGTCTTATATTAATTTTTGCATTAGGGGTTGTTTTCAGGGGATGTTTTATGAGCCTGCCCGTCCTCTAAGATCAGGCCAGGAGGCCCTTCTGAAGGTGCCATCCCTGAAAGAGGTGAGGGGGATGGCATGTCGAAATAGGGCCTTCTCGGTTGTTGCCCCCCAACTTTGGAATTCCCTCCCTAGAGAGGTCCGCCTGGCTCCAACACTCTTGGCTTTTCGGCGCCAGGCAAAGACCTTTCTGTTCAGCCAGCATTTTAATTAAACAATATTCCCTAGCTGGCCATATGAGCAACAGGACTTCTTAATTTTAATGTTTTAAGAATTATTTTAATATATGCTATTTTATATTGTCTTTTAAAATGTTTTTAATGTTTTTAAGTTTTAATGTTGTACGCCGCCCAGAAGCCACTGGAAATGGTGCGGCTAAAATATTGTAAATAAATAAATAAATAAATTTTACAGTCATGTCACCTTCTGGTTGCTGCACAATGGTGCAGGGGAGGGTTTCACCTACCTAGGGCTTATTTTGGCGATAGGGCTTATATTACGAGCATCCTGAAAAATCAGGTTATGTCTTATTTTTGGGGAAACAGGGTATATGGCCTCAGTTTAGAAATGACTTACAGCCCAAATAGGACTCTCAAGGTAAGTGAGATATTTAAGTGGTTTCACCAATTCTCCCCCCTCATCAGTGAATTTCCATGAGATTCAGACTGAGATCTCCAGAGTCCTACTCCATCATTCTATCCACTACACCAGCGGTCCCCAACCTTGAGCCTCCAGATGTTCTTGGACTTCAACTCCCAGAAATCCTGGCCAGCAGAGGTGATGGTGAGGGCTTCTGGGAGTTGTATTCCAAGAACATCTGGAGGACCAAGGTTGGGGACCACTGCACTACACAACACTGAGTACCACCCTAGGCAGTATTCATTCAATTTATTCACAATATATAAGGCCCTTAACATCTTCTCCAAAATGATACACTGCATTTAATTTGAAAATGTGTTTCCAATAAAAGAGCCAGTCAAGTCATTCTGCAGTCAACTTCTTTTAAAAAACACACATATATATTACACTAATGCATGTCAACCCACACTCCTTTCACAGGCTACTGCTCTGCAGGTATGTCTCCCACAGTTCTTTCAAAAGAATGACTCATCTTTTTCAACTAGAGGAAAATGCTTCCAAAAAGACCAAGCCTGCAGAGCAGCAGCAATAAGAGCAGCCATTAAAAAACAAACACCTAGCCATAGTCTGTCTGTATTTTTTTCTTAACTGAAAGAAAATGTTTGCTTACATAAATAGGTGGAGTGCTGCAAAGATAAACAGCTCAAATTAAGATACTTTGCTACACACAAGAATGACAATAACACAGCTAACATGCTGCTGAGTGAGTTATATACAACTTATCAAGGCTCATCTTGGCTGGTAAAAATTAACCTAAACTGGCATGCAAATTTAAATTTTCTATATATTTGTAATATAAATTAGAAATGAAGTACTTTTTCCACAAGGTTTAAAACTAAACAAACATTTTAGTAGATTAACCAGATTTACATAGACAGATAAATGTCAGTCTAAGTAAGTATCAGTTACTTAATCTGTACTGACATTAATCTGTCTTCTTCCCCCTGTCTTTTTAGGATTACTATAGTCTGTACTGATATTGGTACCATTTTGATTCCTGAAAAAAATTACGGCACACAGGAGAAAGACTCAAATTTTCTTACAGTGGTTACACGGAAAGGTAAACTGAGGAACCTGATGTTTAACAGTAAATACTGTATCAAGAACAAGATCACCCTCCACTAATGGCATGCATTTTTAATAGGCAATTGTTTGTTTAAAGGCTCTGTCCTAAACAACACAGGGCAGATCCTTTCTACTTCAGCCACCAGCCGGTTCCACCGGTTTCTCCTGTGAACTTATTACCGCCCAGCGCCTTCCTTCAAACTCTACCGACTGCTTCCCATCTTGGGCTCCATCATCCCACCCCTCGTAGCATTTGGGCGGATACTCTGAACACGCCCGAGTTCTACCCCCTCCCCGACCCGCTCTGCCCTCCACCAAGCCCCGGGATCCCACCTTTCTACAACATGGGGACGATGGAAGTTGCTGTCAAACACCTTTGGAAAGCATCAGATTGAAAAAGCCGGACTGGGCTCTTTTCTTATCTCGCCATACCCCCTTTTTCTGGGCCAGAGGGATAAATACCACCCCCCGTGCATCCATCCATCCGTGTGTCTCCCCCCCCCTTTCAGGCGGCTCCCCTCCCTGTCTTCATCCCCACCTGTTTTCGCTCGCCCCCTCCCCGCCCAATGCCCCGGGCCTTTAGAGGCACGGCTTTCATTCAGCCAGACGCTTCCGAAATACAGGAGGAGGAGGAGGAGGAGGAGGAACCGTCACCCACCCCTTCCTCCTTCCCACGGCCTGCGGAGGAGGAGGAGGGGAGGGGTCCACAGGATCGCCTCGCCCCCAGAAACCAACCCCTGCCACCTTCTCGCACCCTCTCCCCTCCACCGGCCCCGACGAAGAGGCAGAGGCGCCAGCGGCATCTGCTTTGCCTCCCTGAGGCGATGGAGGGGCGACTAGGCCGCGGCCGTTCTCCCATCGTCCTCCGCGGCGCCACCCGAGTCCGTTGCCGCCCCCCACCCCGCCACGGGCCCCGACGGCCCTCAGCCTCCCAGAGGGTCCAAGGGGCAAGGGGGTGGTGGGCGAGGGCTTACCTGGGCCTTGGTGCCCGGCCTGTTCCGCCTCAGCACAGCCGTCCCCTCCGCCATGACCATAGTGACAGCGAGCGGCGCCAGGACCCGGATGCGGTGGCGGCGGCTCCACCAACAGCAGCTACCAAGCCGGGGAGGGGAGGGAAGGCGGAAGCGCGCGAGAGGCGCGAGACGAGGACGGCGACGTCAGGCAAACTTCCCGCGAGGGAAAAGGGGAGAAAGAAAGGACGGCGGGGAGGGGCTGGAGCACGTCGCGGTGATGTCACGACGGCGGCGGCGGCGGGAGAGGGAGGAAGGTTTTTTTTTAAACAGAGGATGGTCTGTCTCGGAAGGAAACAGCCGTGAGGAAGGTGCTTAAACAGAGGATGGTCTGTCTGGGAAGGAAACAGCCGTCCCGAACGTGCGAAGCGGGCGGAGGCTTCCTCAGTAGAACAGCCGAGGGGAAAGGGGCGGGGAGAGGCCTTCGATAGGGTGGTGACGTCAGTGGCCCGGGTTCTACTCCAGGGCTCTCGCAGCGGAGGCCGGGCAGAAGGCGGGCAGGCGCCGGACGGGGAGTCTTGGGTTTTTTTGGCTCCGCGCCTTGGTGAAGTCTAGCGCTTAAGAAACAGCAGAGTTGTGGGGGGGTGGGACGCCTGCATAGATACCAAGGTGTGCCTCGTGTTTCTGAAGCTCCACATAACTTGGCATATGAGTCTCAAGCCCCCCCGCCCCCCCCCCAACATACATAGAGGGAAATTATTGCTTTGTATCCGCGAAGGCTTTCACGGCCGGGATCTAATGGTTGTTGTGGGTTGTTCGGGCTCTTAGGCCTTATTCTGTCTCCTGTCCTCTGAAGATGCCGGCCACAGAAACTGGCGAAACGTTAGGAAGAACAACCTTCAGAACACGGCCAAAGAGCCCGAAAAACCCACAACCACCAAATTATTACTTTGTTCTAGGGTTAGCATCAAGTAAGGGGCGCCTCACGGCTCTTTGTAATAGCTGAAGAAAAGTTCTGGAATTCTTGCCCAGATTGTGTGTGTTTAACCTGGCAAAACAAGGAGAACATTAATAGGAGTTTTAATTATAGTGAGAAAAACATGTCACTTAAACGTTTTGAACAAGGGGGGAAGGACCCCCCGCTTCGAAAAGGGCACACAAGAAATGGTGAGGAAAGGAAGCAAAAAATCTGCTGGCAGATCTGCTTCATTAAGAAGGCTCGGAGCCAAAAAAAAAAGTGGGGCGGAGAGGGGGAGGAAATAACATTTAAGACTCCTTCTTAAATAAAACGGGAAGGACGAGGCGCCTCATAGTTGGGTCAGACAGGACGGTTACGAGGGAAAAGCAGCAGAGCCGAAGGGTGAGGATGGCCGCCCTCCTCTGATCCCCGGGGCGGGCGAGGAAGGAGGAAAGGCCGCCCTCTGCGCCCCGAAGGAGCGGCGGTTCCCTCAGCGGCGCTCCTGTCAAAGGGGCCCTTAGGGCGCAGGGAGTTTGCTTTGCTTTACAGGCAAAATGCAGGAGGGTCAATGTGGAAAAGTCCGCCTTTTACTCCCACCTTGGTTCCTTTTCGTGATCTATCCAGCAGTTACTGGCACCCGTACCTCGAAGCACCCCGGCCTGACCGACGGGGGTTCCCCTCGCAAACTGCCAGCCCCAACAAGAGTATCGAAGTGAATGTCCCAGAAAGCTCTGTATGCAGAGACTTCTCATTTTAGGAGAAACGTCTGTGAACTCAACGTCTTGCTTACATCCTACACTACAGCATTCTCTGCATTCTTAGAAATACTGTAAGCTCTCCCCTGAGAACATACCGTTGCTGCGTACTTCATGCCTGGCTGTCCCACCACAGCTATGTCAGAAATATGCAACACTTTCCCCCTCTTCACCAAGGCCTTGAGACAAACCAAAACAGACAGATTACCCTCTGGAAAATGCTGCATGCTGAGGCCTTTCATCTCCGTCTTCTCTCTCTCCCACTTCTCAGCAAGACAAGCAGAATTCATTATCCTTGAGAAAGGTTTCCCTGCAGAAAAAAAAGCTTGTCAGTTAAAGAAGACATCGCCTTGAATTAACAGCCTACAGAATAATTTTCCCTCATCAGTGCTTGGTAGAGTTGTCATATCCACTGGCACAAAACCTTTATAAAATATAAAGATTATTATTTTAAGGGATTTTTCTTTTTTACATTTGCTTCTACTGTCCTTTTAGGCACCTCTGCATTTCCAAATTGAAAGCAAATAAAGTACACCAGATGTTTAGGTAGATTGGACGGAGGAATGAAAGAAAAAGGCATGCAGGTATTTTTTAAATAAAGCAGTGAACAGCACCTCAGCCAAAACTGTTCTGGATTACAAAGGATGTGGCCAATTGCTTAAAATATATACAACAGTGGCTGACTAACAAATAATTACATATTTTTAACAACAAAATATGTTAAAATATTCTACTACCACATTTTCTCTGGTAAAAGTATGCTGTTTTTCAGGTGTATCATTCATCTACTAGAGAGGATACTGTCCTCCAGGTTCTTTGGAAGTAGCATAGTTCTACCAGAATAAATGAAGAAGATTAAAGCTCCAACTAATTGCTTTTCATGCCTTTATTCATCATATCTTGTCTGTCCCTTTGTAGTTTATTCTTTTCAAAGCATTCATTTTAATTTTAATTTTAAGTGTTATAGAACTGTATTGTTGCACATTCTCATCAAACTGAAGCAGCACATTGGTAGAAATCTATTTTTGTTTGTTTTAATTTTTTAAATATAATAGCTACTAACAAAACTGTGTGCAGTGGTTAGATGCATTTTGGACTGAGACTTGGGAAATTAAATTCCACAGCCATAAAACTAACTAAGTAACATGGAGCCGGTCATTCTTAGGGTCACCTTCCAGATTGTTAAGAGGATAAAGTAGAGAATAGCAATAGCAATAGCAATAGCAATAGCAATAGCAATAGCAATAGCAATAGCAATAGCAATAGCAATATCTATCTATCTATCTATCTAAATAGCAATAGCAATAGCAATAGCAATAGCAATAGCAATAGCAATAGCAATAGCAATAGCAATAGCAATAGCAATAGCAATAGCAATAGCAATAGCAATAGCAATAGCAATAGCAATAGCAATAGCAATAGCAATAGCAATAGCAATAGCAATAGCAATAGCAATAGCAATAGCAATAGCAATAGCAATAGCAATAGCAATAGCAATAGCAATAGCAATAGCAATAGCAATAGCAATAGCAATAGCAATAGCAATAGCAATAGCAATAGCAATAGCAATAGCAATAGCAATAGCAATAGCAATAGCAATAGCAATAGCAATAGCAATAGCAATAGCAATAGCAATAGCAATAGCAATAGCAATAGCAATAGCAATAGCAATAGCAATAGCAATAGCAATAGCAATATCTATCTATCTATCTATCTATCTATCTATCTATCTATCTATCTATCTATCTATCTATCTATCTATCTATCTATCTATCTATCTATCTATCCCACCTTTCTCTCCAAAAGGACCCAAGGCAGCTCACCCTGTGCTAGTGGTAAGCCAGACTGCCAAAATATCTGGAGCCCTATCTCCCCACTTTGGACAAAACCCCCCCAGGTTGGAATACTTCACCTGATGTTGGTATCATGCCTTCATATCTTGTTCACAGGAGTTGTGACTTCTGGCAACGGGTGATTTCCTTGGGGGTGGGGAGTATAAAGGCAACTGCAACAAAGGCAGTAAAATAGATTTGTCTTCCTCACCCCACTTGTTTTGTGGAAGGAAAGGTCTTGGGTCTTTTCCTCTGTTTGTTTTTAGAAGTTGTTGCCAAGCTGTTTTCCATGATGACTCAATCCAAGAAACGAACAGCTCTGGCCTCACAAAGCATCTCATGCAGACTAAAGAAACCCTGGAGGAGAATGGGGTGTGCATAACAACAGATGTGTGGAAAATCAATGGATCCTACAAGACCAAAGGCAAAATGAACTGGAGGTTTTTCTAGGTTGGTTGGTTGGTTTGTTATTACATTTGTTCCTTGAAATGGGGCACCATGAAATATCAAACCAAATTTTAATCACAACCTATGCCAAAAAACTCGCTGCAACTCAGCAGACAGACACTGAGGTCATTGTGCAAATAACTTTTAAATGTCATTGATAAAGGGACCATCTGTGATAAGGCAGGAGAAAGATGTATTATATGTAGGAAATAACACAAAGTATACATTAATGCATGCCTTTGTCAGATCTATAGCTAACTGAAATAGGCAAGAGTGAAAAAGCGAAAAGGGTGTTAATTAACTTGTACTAATTACTTTCTCAACAAATACTGCTTGGTGTCACAGTACAAGGTTCTTGTAGCTCTCATTGGCATTATGGTACAGATATGCCACTGAGGAATATTTCTCATGAAGTGTGAGATGTGCCTAAGCTAGCTGTTTGAATTCTTGCTCATATCTATTCTGCTTTGGGTTAATCTGTGGAGACTGATACTTTTTTTACTCTCTACTATAATCAGTTATTGTTATCAGGTTTCCTATAACAATGAATATTTCTGCTCTTAAATGAAGGTAGAATAATATCTTCTTCACTGGTATCTGTAATTAAGGAGAATTATGGGATCACACTCTTCTTGCAGCTGGCCTTATGAGTGGTACTGTGATAAGACACAGTTACAAACAGCACTGTCCTTGTTCGCAATGATACTTTTCTGTGAAGGAATGATTTAATACTTTCAGCTGTTGCCCATAACCTCCTGTGTAGACTGTGCTTTAAGCCTTTTTTTTTCTTATTTTATAGAGACAGACTTAGATGTTTGACAGCATCTATGGATGACAACCGTGACTGGCTCATGCTATTTTGCTGCTTCTGGTGAATAAGATGGTGCTACCATTCTATGTACAGAAGGTGATTGGTCTGGACTGGAAGCTGAATCTGATTTCAACACAGGTCTCTTACTGCATGCAAGGGCACTAGAATCATCTAGGGGTGCAGGGCAGTCTGAGTGGCACACACTGCCCTATCCTCCAATACTTCCTCATTATGGGGCCTTACTTTTCCTAATGACAGGCCCAGCCCTGACTAAAACTACCATATTTTTCCATTTATAAGACGCCCCGATGTGTAAGATGACACCCACTTTTCTAACCCCAAATTAGAAAATTTGATCATTGCTTTCCCCGCCACTTCCTAAGCCCCACAGGGCTTAGCAAAAGGAGGGGGAAAGCAAGGATCAAAAGGCTGCAGGATCACTTTGATCGCTGCTTCCCCCC